AAGCGTGGATTATTGTAACCTGGATTAAAAGTGTGGATTATTGTAACCTGGATTAAAAGTGTGGATCATTGTAGTGAAGCCTTCGTCTTCAACCATCGACAGAGGCCTCATGTCAGTGATGATCATTTAAGAATGACTTCAGTGAAGACAGCTGCTGCTGTGGTGTCCATGATGTCTGTCCATCATGAAGGATGTTGTTGTTTGTTGTTTTCTGGAATGAGAGAGTAAATATGTTTTATAACATAATTTACAGAAACTCAAGAAATGCCTTGTTTCACTTACAGCGTTAGGTTCAGGCAAAAGTAGCTAAAAGAGCAATTACACACACACACACACACACACACAAATTATATAGATAGATAGACAGACAGACAGACAGACAGATAGATAATACTTAATTACACACAACTGAGTAGATGTAATAAATTACTTTAATTCCTGTTTAAATGCAAATCATCCTGCCATACGTTGACAGACTTTGCCAACAAATTAAAATTTGAAGCTTAATTGTTAAATTATTATCTTTGTGTTACATTTATTTATAAATCACATTTAAACACTGCTTGTACCAATTAAATTAAATAAAAAGTAACACACGTTCTCTATCACCGTCATTAATCAGCAAACAAACAAACAAGCAGCAGCTTCAGCTACAGAGAGACTGACGTTACGTTTTCTCACTTGGAAACAGAACAAATGTAGAATATTGTAGAGACTCACCTGTAACACATGACGAGTTGTATCTGCTGCTGCTCCTTCATCCACATCGATGACTCCGACATGTTTACATTAATCTCCGTGATTCTCCCGTGTCGTGTCGTCACTTTTCAAAGCTGCATGTTGCACAGTTTTTATCTTTGTGAAGAGCTCCCACACTTTGGAGGACTTGGGTCGAACAGTTTTCTCTGCTGGTCATTTGTAAAATTTACTTAATTTCCTTTGAAAACAGCCTCTGCTCTGCTCAACTCACTCTGCAGAGTTTTTTTGTTTTTTTTTAACTTTATTCAGTCAGACAGCAATGACAATGCTCTGCAGGCGAACAAAACGGCTTCGCAGCGCCGTGAAAGACGCTTAATTGCACGACACAACGAATTGATAATGAAATTTGTTGTCGACACTTTTAATAATCAATTTTTATTAATTTTACCAATTTTATTGATTCGTTGTTGCAGCCCTTGTATGGATGCAGTTATAGAGGACATGAAGGTAGTTGGACAGAGGATGCAGAAGACAGAGTGAGATGGAGGTGGATGACTTTCTGTGGTGACCCCTCAAGAGGGAACAGACAACAGAAGTAGTTGGAGAAATGTGTATTTTTCTGCCTAGCTTGTTAGGTCCATACAAGTGTGAAAGTATTGAGTATCGTGTATGTGTGTATGTGTGTGTGTAAGCATCCTTTTGTGTGTGCATTTGCATCAGTTTGCTGCACACACATAAAACCTGACACACTGTGTGCATGTTGTAGGTGATGGAGGAGCTGGAGAACGAACGCTGGGCCACCTACACGTCCCACGATCCCTCGCTGCCGGTGAGACACTTCCCCTCTCTGTGCCTGTGCTGCTGGGACTTTGCCAAGCGTGCATATTTTTAAACTTGTCATCACCAAAACATGTTTTTTTTCTCTCTCTCTCTCTAAAATGTGAAAACACTGCAAGAGACGAACAATGCTTCATCCACAGTAGGATTTTATTATCACTCTCCCTGTTTGGGAGGTAAATAATCCCAAAGACTGCAGAAACAGTAAATGCAGAAAAATATGTACGTTTAAATGACACCAATCAGTTCGGTTGTTTGAACTTTAGTCTGCTTATCTGTAAAGATCTCAATGAAACAGGTTCAAACCTGTGGGTTAAGTTTACAGAAATAAAAAGTACATTTTATTTTTGTGTTGATATAAAAACATGGATTAGAAAGCCCTACAGGAGACTTGTTAAAAGATGCACAGGTTAGCAGCCCCATGTGTGTATTACACTAATAATATGACAGTGTGTGAGAAGAGTCATCCTGAGCTCATTTAAAGGCCACATGGTAACATAATTTAACTTATGTGAATTTAATATTTACTTTGCTCTGATGATAATAGATTAGTTACTTGTCATCCACAGAATATATCTGACTCAACTGCATTGGCTACATGTGTAAATTGTATCTCATAGACTCCTGAAGCCAACATAAAATACTATTTTGTTATTAAATAAGCTCAGGGACCATGTGGGGTAATATAAACTGGTTTGAGCTCCAGATCAGTGTCTTCACTGAGATCTAATTTAAGCTTTACGAGTTTTTTCCAGTCTTGTTTCTGGAACCTCCTGCTCTGTAACCTGCTTCAGCAAACCTGCGTCACATGGAGAGCTCAGCTCATCAGTTTCACTTCAAGCTGTTTTTAGAAACCTGAGAGCAGCTCACTCATTTAAATCAGAACTGCTGCTGCAGAGAAACCTGAAGCTTCCAAAGCAGGGAACGTCTCTGAGCAGGACCGCAGAACGTCCAGGGATTCTGTCGCCAGTGTGGATGCAAAACGTGCTCTACAGCAAGACTGATGGTTAAATACTTTTAGGGTGATTTACTTACCCAGAAAGTATTTTACATTAACACATTTACTTGTATAAAAGTACATTTTAAATTAAAAAATAGCTTTGTTTTTGTTTTTGTTAAGGAAATACATATTGCTCATCACCAACGTGTTTATGTAATAATTACCTTCTGATTAAGACCAAGATGAGATTGGATGAGATGAGATGGGATGAGATGAGAAGGGATTGGATGGGATTAGGTGACACTGAATGGGATGAGATGCGAGGAGATGGGATGAGATGAGATTGAACAGGATAAGATGGGATGAGATTAAATGAGATGGGATGAGATTAAATGTGATGAGATGATATTGACTAGGATGAGATGAGATGGGATTGGATGAGATGAGATGACCGAGATTGAGGGGCTGAGATAGGGTAGCAGTAGAGCAGCCAACTGGGGACCAGAAAGTTGTGGTTCGACTCCCAGTCATTCCCACATGTCGTAACATCTCTGAGCAAAACACCTCATCCTCCACTGCTCCCCGGGTGCCTACATATCTGCCCACAGCTCCACCTGGGTGTATCTCACATGTGATGGGTTAAATGCAGAGAAGTAATTTTGTTGTTGTATGGGAACATACAGTGGTGACAATCTCAAACTCCCCTTCCCGTAGTGGACATTTCATTTAAATCTGTCCAGTGGTTCCTGGGATATTTTGCTAACAGACAGACAAACAAACAAACACTCACAGACACCTGTCGCTTGTCATGGCATCAAGTGATTGCATCACACCTCATGTTCATTCATTCGTGCTCACACAGGCTCATGTTCGTGCTGCTGTTGTTCAGCGTATTGTTTTTGTACTACTAGTGCTTAGTTTATTTTTGTTATACTATTAGTACTCAGTGTATTGTTAGTTCATATCTTAGATCTTATTACTGGTTTTCTTTTACAATTTTTACTTTTGTTGGATGTAACTGGGACCCTGTGTACACAATGTCATTCCACCACATGTACCACATGTGGTGGAATGACAATAAAGAACCTGGACGTTCTTCCTGTTAGCTTCGTACCAGGAGACTGAAGACGGATTATCACATTGTTGCGAGTCAAATCAGTTCTTCTCATCCTGAACATTTCATTGCATTGTTGACCTTGTGTTAACCTTCATATGACAAACAACGTAACCTTGCTTTTTTTGGATTTCGAGTTCTCAGACAGAAACGGTGGAAATACATTTTATTTTATTCAGTATAGTATTTTTAAGTAATTTCATATTTCTTCTAGTTTTAAGTTGACACTTTAATTGCATTTAATACTTTTTCTTTGTTTACCCACAAAAGTTGCAGTTTATAGTTCACTGACGTTCTTCCACAAAACCTTAATTACCTCAAAAATGTTAGCCAGACAATAAAAGCCTTTAATTTGTCACACGTCAAGAAGAAACGTATGACTCTGTAGTTATCTCTGTCATACACAGGTAACTCTGACCCACTTGAATATCTTGCACATCGTTCAAATTCCTCAGCGACAGGGGACATTGGCTTGTTTTCATCCCCAGCTGCAGTTCTTCAAAAATCATTTGACTATTTGAAAAATATACCAGAAGGCTCAACTTCTTGGAAAACTTGTTAGTTTCCTTCAAGATTTGAGTTATTTCTCATGACAAAGGATAATCTTATACAACACATGTCCAGTGTTATTCATGCACAGCTGTATTTATTCATGTTTGTGCGTTTGCATCAGTGTGTTGCTCTCTCCACTCACTTTATACTGAGTTTTTGTCATGGCCGTCCAAGTAATCCCACACAGGGGAGACAAATGTGCGTCTGTCAGTCAAGGGGACTAAACAGCGTCAGTCTGCTTTGTCAAAAGCATTTGGCATTCAGCTCACATGATAATGCAGCTCACAGCTATCACCAGAAAGAAAGAGCGTGAGATACTGAGTGTAAGGAGAGGAGAGAAAATGTGGAGAGGGAGGGAGAAACTTAGCAGGAGATAAATGGAAAGAAGCAGGGGTAATAGACGGAGCGGTGGGGAGACGGTTACTGAAGGAGGAGAGGCAAGAAAGAAAGAGGTGGTGTGATTTAAAGGAGACTGCTGAGGTGAAAGTAAGATAATGTTGAAGTGATGCACAAGTGAGAGACGTAACAAAGTGCACGGCCAAATCTATCGTTTTTTTCACTTAATAGACAATATATTTCACAAGTTTACAAGCTGAACCGTGATGTCTTAGTTTTTAAATATCTATTTTAAATTATCTGTAACGCGTGAACTGAAAATTGAATTGAATTAACCATTTTCTCTGGTAAAGGTCAAAGTCAAGGCCAAGGTTCTTTATTGTTATTTGCATCACATGTGGTACATGAGGTGTTACAAACCTGTGTACACAGGGTCCCAGTTACATCCAATAATAGCAAAAGTATAAAGTGTAAAAGAAACGGTAAGTAAGGATCTGAGATATAAACTAAGATATACACTAAACAAACGCCCAACAGTACGCTGACAGCTCTAAGATCTACACGCCAGTCACTAATGGTGCAAAACAATACACCGAACAACAGCAGCACGAACATGAGTCTGTGTGAGCAGATGAGTTGGAATGCATGAATACAGCAGCAGCAGTAAAGAGGATCTTGAATATGTTTGATTTACCATATTTTCCAGCATATAAGTTGCACGTTTTTGCATAAATTATTAAATGGAGATTGTGACAAAGTGAATATTCAACGAGTCTGCTGCTTCCTTGGAGAACTTTACTAATTGGCTTTGTCTATGCATGTGAATGTTCCTGTAAAGTGCCCTGAGACAACTTTGTTGTGATTTGGTGCTAAATAAATAAACCGAATTAAATTGAACTGAATAAATTAGCATGCCTGCTCCTCGTACTGCGAAGTGACGTGTTTATGGATTTTTCCACTTTATTAGACATATTTGGACTGATGCAACATGTACGGCGGAAAATATGGTAGTTTTATTTTAAATAATTTTTTTGTTGTTGTTGGTTTGAACAATTTAGCCTCTTTCACAAAATTCTTTAAGCTGGCCCTGAAATGCCTTCTAGTCATCGTTGTGCGGCTTCTGAAATGTCCGAGGCAGCACGGGGGGTGAAGTCAACCTGCTGCTGTCACGTCTGTCAGCCACCATGAGGTGTTCACAGTGCTGCCATGGTGGACGTGTCGAGGAGCTGTGCAGCTTGAGTGTGTGATGCAGTGATGGCAGACGGTCTGTGCAGCTGCAGGATTGTCTCATCTGTCTCAACAGCGTTTTACACGGAAGCTTCCAAAATGTCTCAAAGCATTCACAGGAGTTCTCAGTTTCCTCGTGTGAATGACGAGGCCTTGCTCTTGAGTCACTGAAGTTTTAACCATGTTCAAATCATTTTCAATATTCATTTTTCCACAGTAGTCGCAGGACTGTTGCAGACTCCGCAGGTTCTTTTTACCTTAGTTTTGTAGATCTGTGCAAACCCCTGGTGCATTTCTGCCCAAATTTCAACAGAGTTCATACAAATGTGTCTTCAGTGTGATTCCAAGTAAAATGTTGCATATTTTCCTGCAGTTTTGTGTTTTTTAAATCCCAACAGTCGCAGCCCAGTGAGACACGTGCAGAGTGGGAAGTGCCCAGCATGTTTCATGAGTAAGGCGTAAAGTCCAGTTTGCTGAGATCCTCTCCTGTGCCTCCTTTGCTTCTGTGACGTCAACCACGTTAATGAAAGCTCACATCTTGATGGATAATTTACAAACAACCGGAGGGACTCTAAAGAGAGACTTGTCTTTGCGTCTGTAATGCAGAACCGTTTTGGGGACGAGGCGTAATGAGGTCAAGAAGTGACCACACCATTAGAGAGATGGTTGAACTGTGCATAATATTCAGGCCAGGAGGCTCCTGTGAAGTTCACAGAGCAGCCACTCTCTCTCAAACTGCCTTTGCTTTTATTACAATATCACTTATGCAGTTATTATTTCCACGACCAGTCTTCATCTTAGCTGTACTGGTACAGTAAGATGGATGTTTGGTGATGTTATTGAGTTATAACTGGAAAACATGCTGGTCAATATGCTGCAGGGCTGAAATGAAACCTGCGGGACTGATGTTTTAATCCATGCAATAAAGTGAATGAATGAAAGCAACACATCAAACACTGATGCAAAAATACAGCCTTGCATGAGGCTTCAAAATAAAGAACAGAACAAATTGTTGTTCATCTCATTTAATACATTTCTCTTTCCTCTCAGAAGTTTCATAGCCATGTCTGAAATCTTTGCCTCTTCACAATCTGAGTTCTGTGAGTCGCTTCAGAACTACTGCAGCGATGTGTCACATCTGAACAGAATTAATTAGCACTAACCCTTGTGATCGTGACAGTTCAGGGCCACTACAGTCACTCTTTATTTTACTGTGCAGTGTCTTTTGCACATCGTCCAGCATGTGACGATCCCTTGTTTTTTTCCTGTAGCGCTATCATAAGGAATACTTAGTGTCATAAAAATACCTCCAATTTACTAAATGAAGCATGTAAACAAGTTTTATTCTAACATTTTGAGGAGCACTGATGAGTTTAATAACAGCTGACATAGTTATTTAATTTTACAACTCACAGATTTGGCCGGTCTGTAATTAAAACCAGTGCATGTTGTGGTGTCAGGTGTCTGTATGCTCCCCAACCATTCCCAGTGGAGAGCTTTCATATTCATACCTTTAGACCGCACCTTATGGTTTGCATTTCCTTTTTGTTTTGTTTGTGCTGGTGTAAAGTTTACTGTCTCAACCCAAATCTGACGACTAGACAGCTTCTGAAGCTCAGACTTGTTCACACACACACAGGTTTGTTTGGCTATCATTATGAGGCCTTTCCATTGATTTCCATTAATTTCTATAGCCTAACCCTGACCTTTACCCTAAACCTAACACATCCTCAGTTCACACCTTAGGCCTAAACCTAACCCACCAACGGGACTTCTTCTTACGGGGCCCGAGCTTTGGACCCCATAAGGAGCATTTGGTCCTCACAATGTAGTATAAGTTGGAAAAAGGAGTCTTGCAAAGTAGCATAAACAAGGACACACACACACACAGACAGTCTATTGTTATTGACCAGGTCAGTTTGCTGGATCTTTTCAATCTGCTGGATCACATGACGTTTGTAAAAGTGTGAAATTCACATGGAGGTAAACAGGGAGGGGCTGCAGCTCATGAAACTTTAGTTCCTCCATACGTGTTTCTAAAAGATACAGAGCATGAACACAAGAACTTGGTCCGAGAAAAGGTGAGGTAAAAGGTAAAACTAACTTTTCCTTGGGTGTTTGAGAACATTTTAAGACTCGAGACAATTATTCCTCATATTTAGAATATATACAGTATATATATCTATATATATATATAGATATATATATATATAGATATATATATATATCATTAAGAGCTGACTTTGAAAAGTGAGTGGAGATATATTTTCTTTTCATCTTTGCAGTTTATCACAGGTTTTGACGTTCTCTCTCTCTCTCTCTGTTTGTGTGAAAAGGGCACCGTGGACTTGGAGCGTGAAGAGGGTGAAGAGTGTGAGGAGAATATGGAGGTTTTTGACGACAGCAGTTCCAGTCCATCAGGAACCCTGCGTAACTACCCGCTAACCTGCAAAGTGCTGTACTCATACAAGGTAGCACACACACACCGGAGTTACACTGTGGTTACTCATACACACACATACATATAAGCCCTCTGTTGTTCTCTGTACCTACAGTGCACTGCTGAAGGTGTTATTTTATTGTGTGCACAAGAAAACGTGAACAAGTGTATTTATTTACTTCTCCTTTGCAGTACATCGTACATGAAATGATTTGCATTCTACTTTTTCTGAACCCTTTAAAACCAAAATATAATTTGTGCAATAAATATTCAAGCAATAAGTAATTACAATAAATATAAAACAATAAATTAAAACATTTTTCTTTGTAATACACATTGCTTTCCCTTTGAACCAGGTGTAGTTGAGATGATTGTCATCATCAGTAGTTCTGTCGCGATAAACAACAAATCAGTTAATCGAACGATAAATGAAAATTATCAACCTCATTTTCATTTATCGTCTGATGATTCCTCTGTTGTTTGAAAATTGAACAATATAGCATGAAAAATCTTTCGGTCACACCTCAATACTATATTTGCAAAAACTCAACTGAAAGTGGCCAAGACAGCAGCCTTGGGATGCCCCGATTTCCAGCACTGTAAAGATATCTATTGCCAACAGTTACAATCTAAATACAGTGTGTCAAAACATTAACATCTACAGACAGAGCTACAAAATCCAAGTTAGCTTGTTTTCCAGAAGAGCTTGTATAAAACTGTTTAACTTTTATAGTCAATAAACCACATTCTGACATGAATCTTTACGCTCCTGCTTCTTTAACACAGAGCCTTTGAGATCAACATTCATTAATGGTTTGGAATGATTTTAAAACTGTAAGGTGTAAATCTTTGCAAAATATAAAGTCAGCATGTTAAGTTACAGCAGCAATGGTTTTCTGTTGTCAGCCATGAAAATCTGAAGTTTGCCAGCTTCTTATCCATGTTTTGTCATTGTCACCTCTTCTTTCTTCTTGTCTGTCCTGCAGGCCTCTCAGCCAGATGAGTTGACTATAGATGAGCAGGAAATGTTGGAGGTTATCGAGGATGGAGACATGGAGGACTGGGTTAAGGTGCTCAAACACACTCAGATCAGTGACAGATGTGTGCTGTATTGTCCACCGTACACGTCGCACCGCCCTATAAGCCACATCAGTCCAAATATGTCTAATGAAGTGGAAAAATCCATAAATAAGTCGCATCTATTACGCGTCACCGCTGACAAACTGGAAATGTGGGTTGGTGTTGTGCCAAAAATCGATTGGCTGCCAAATGGTGGACGCGGGAGCGTGCACGGGAGGACTTTAACAAGATTAACACTTAAAAACAATTATTCGTTTGTTTGAAATTATAACAAATGTGTGTCTCAGTCTAACTTTTCCTTAATAAATGCACTTTGACGGTCAAATCATCTGCCTTTCAAAACCTGATACGCAGAAGTAGGAGCGTGCACGGGAGGACTCGCTGTGCATTTCTTCCAAATTTAGCAAGATAAACACATAAAAACAATTATTTGTTTTCTCGACTTTATAGTAAAGGTGTGTCTCAGTTTAACTTTTACTAAATAATGCACTTCAATGGTCAAATCAGCTGCATGTCTCCGTGGCGGAGCAGCGAAATGAAGTTGCTCCAGGTGAGCTGGACGAAGGTGGCAGACTGTGGCAAGCTGATTGTATCATTAATAGCCACATTTACCTATTACATGACACAACGGCATGCCATACAACTCGAGTACCATCTAGCGGCTGAAAATGATAACGTGTTCAATATTTTCAGTCAGAATGAATGAAAACGGTCATATCTCAGCCAAAATTGGTTTAAATATGGGAAAAATGCATAAATAAGTCGCAGGGCACGCAAATTATGCAAAAAACATGACTTATATGCCGGAAAATACGGTAAATCATTTGTAACAGACATCTTCATCCCCAGATTTGCCATGTGTCATCATTGGATTTACACATTCCCTTTTTTCTTTCTTTCTTTGTTAACCCAGGCACGCAACAAGACAGGTCAAGTTGGCTATGTTCCAGAAAAATACCTACAATTCCCCACTTCCAACAGTCTGCTGAGCATGCTCCAATCTCTGGCCACACTGGATGCTCGATCACACACCTCATCCAATTCAACTGAACCCGAGCTGCACGCCAGCTGCATCAATGGAGATACAAACGGTAAATATTTTGCAGCCTAACATCAGTAAAAAAAGAAGAAGCTGCGTTTAAATCAGAAAACATTTGTGTGTTTGTTGAACGTGTACTGAAGTTGTTATAGTCTGTTTTCATACACCTGTTGAAAGGCATGTCTCTGTCCGGATGTCCATAAATAACTTCTGCTCAAAACAATTTAACAAAACTTCTAACACACGCGCATCATTACTAAACGGAGTGTTGTGTACACTGTTCATCACTCCAGCTTCAAGGTCAAGGTCACAAATCAAGGTCAAACAAGGCCTTTGCTTGTCTGAGCCACAACTTCTGATCCACTCAAGATAATTTTATGACATTTGATACACTTATGCATCATCGCTATACGGAGCATGTGCACATGCTTCATCCCCCAGCCCCAAGGTCAAGGTCACAAATCAAGGTCACATTTTTACAAGGTCTTTGCGTTTTCGAGCCTTGCTATACATTTCTGTGTAATAGTTTGTCGAAGGGCATATGGTGTGTGTGGTACTCTTGTTCTCTTCACTGGATATCATTAGAGGTTTTGACAATATATAGTGTTTTAGGTAAACATCTAACACTGGCGTCACTTTTGCTCTCTACATCAAGTTAAATAGATTATAGTAGCAAACAAAATGACAAGCTTTGGTTAGCCAGTGTAGAAGAACAGACCTTGTTAGAAAATAAGGTTGCTGCAGCCACTGTTGGCCCTCAGTGGAAGAAACGTAAAACTAAGTGGTTGTATAAAACTGCAAAGTCAGTGGCTGGTGTTACCGGCCTGTTTAATGTAATAGAGAGGAGGTTCCCTTTGCTTTAACCTTCAACTACGATTTGCAGCATCTTAAACGTTTTATGAAGCAGTGAGTTGTTTCCTGGTGGACACTTTGGGTGTTGAAAATAAACCTGGAGAAAGTCCAGAAAGCCAAACAGTTCAGCTGCAGGACCACACGTAAAGCTGGAATCAATTTGATACTTTCACTCTAAATATGATCAGCAGTGATGGGCCGTCTGAAGCTGAAGCTCCAAGACAACACGGTGTTTCTGAAGCTCTGTGTCGGAGCTTGACTCATTTGGCAAAAGTCACGTGATCAACGGTGTCCGAAGCTTCGAAAGTGCCCGAGTTACGTCACGGCTTTGGTACCTGCTCCAAAGTTTTAGGAAGTAAATCATCGACTGGATTTGTGAAGTTTTGTTGGTGCAATTTGTGCATACTGGGAGTGGTGGTGCAGAGATTAGAGAAGGTGGGCCTGTGATCAGAAGATCGCTGGTTCAACTCCCGGTACAGACTACATCAAAATGTGGGTGGTAAAGGTGAAACACCCACACCCACCCCCCCCCCCCCCCCCCCCCCCCCTTCATTTGTCCCTTTCTGGGCGCTTGGTAGCTCAGTGGTCTGTGGTTGTGCCAGGAAGGACATCCGATGTAAAACTTATGGCCAAGTCTTCGTGCAACTGAGTTCACTGTGTGGACCCCTGAAGAAGGGAGCAGCTGAAAGAAGACAAGAATAAAAAGTTGGTGCAATTTGTGCCAAATATAACAAAACAGCAAGCAACATAGAAAACATGGAGCCAGCCAGCCTGGTGTGTCTTAAGTGTTTATTTTATCAGTTCATAAGTGCTTTTATCCCCAAGGAAACATGTATATTTTAGAAAAACACTTTATGTACATAAGTTACAATCTGATCTCACAGGTAACATAAACTGGTTCATTACATAAAGTCCAAGAGGCAGAAAACCTGCAGCACAAGCATCATTCTTAACTGGTATTGTGTTGTGAATTAGATAAGATTCATATAAATCTGTGTTTACAAATGTCAAGTCACAAGCAACATACGCCACGTTTTAACATGTTTATTCTTCAAAATTATTTATTCATCAAATATAAGCATAACTTTTTTCTTTCACCTACAAAAAATACATGTTCAAAGCACCTCAATGACGGTCCAAATACCAGAGAGAAAAGTCTGAAGATATTAAACAGCAGCTGCTTCATTTCAAGCAGCTCCTTATACTGTGGCCACAAGATGGCGCCAAAGAGGCCGGTGTTGACAAGCTTCGAGCAATGAAGCCTTTTTGAAACATTTATTATTTTATTAACTTTTATTTAACCAGGTAAATCTCACTGAGATCACAGATCTCTTTTGCAAGGGAGGCCTGGGCCTGAAGGCAGACCAACATGCATGTTTTATACTGTGGGAGGAAACCAGAGCACCTGGAAAAAACCCACGCATGCACAGAGAGAACATGCAAACTCCACCCAGACAGACCCCAGGTCCAACATGCTTCAGTGTTTCAGAAAAGCTTCATTTGCCCACCTCTAATGATCAGCTTGGTGGGCCTATATATTGACCCTAAATGACAATTTTTATAAAAATGTATTTAAATCTTGTTGCAGTTTCACTGAAAGAGACTTCAGGAAACAACTGAGACGCGTTTGATTAACTTCAATAAAAACTCATTTGCATAACCTAAATACAAGTTGTCAAATTATTTATTTTCATTAACTGAATGTAAATAACACCTTAAATGGTAACTAGTTGAAATAATTTTAAAATATTTACCGATAACTTTTTTTTTCTTTTTTTTTTTTTTAACAGATTGATTTTTGTTCCTTCTGTAATTTCAACAAAAAAACAGAAGAGATTAATTCAACTAAATTTGCGAGGCTCGATTCAATTTATTCATTAAAGTTGGTTCTGGTAAATTAACTGGTTGAACAAATTTAAATCAAAGGCCTAACATTCCTTGAGGAAATGCACATCGCCCGCCAACTTGCTTCTCAAAGCTTCAAGCAGAGGTCTCACTTAATCTGAGAGCACCAACAGAATGGAATGGAAATGACTCTCAGCTACTGCCACATTAAAGATTGGCCAAATATTTATTAATTTGTCTGAAGTGTGGTCATTTTTGTGTTTGCTAAGGTCACTCAGCTGTAGTGGCCATCTTGAAGCATGCTGACTCAGAAAGTTTTTATATAGATAATAAAATGTTGCTGATTCAAGATGGCGCCGGTGCACATGGCTTGCCGTCTGCCTCTGCCAACTGTTTGTGTTCTTTCTGTTTCTGTCACGTCTCGTCTGTGACATCACCTTGATGCAGGTGTATGAACGTCAGTCACTTTTAGATCTTCAGTTGCGTGCCACCAAGCTCACCTATTTTGACCACAATGAACGGAGCACTGGGCGTCCTCCTCTCCTGGATGACGAACCTGCTCTGCGCTGCACACCTGCCTGCCTGGGGACAGCACCTCAGGCACCAGGGAATACGCACTGGGCAGATGCTGAAGCTTAAAGCCTGCCTTGCACTTTCTGTGATGTCTCCTTCAGCTGATCATCGCCTGTCCTGAAGCTTTGTGCATCCTGTCATGCCTTGTCTGGTTCCGTTGGTGGGGTCTGGTCTCACAGCTGGAAGGATTTCTACTGAAACATTTTTACTTTGGGACATTAACTTTGTTTTGAAGCGTAACCATGACAACAAGGTCTTCTTGTTGTTGTTTTTTACAACCGGGAGCAGCTGATTAACATCTCAAAGCTCAAATAATATCTCAACTCAACTACAGCCCCAAATCCCAAATGAGTTGTAAAGGAGGCGCCGTGGATGCATTCTCATCTACCTGGCAGCAGTGCTCGAGTGCCTGACTGTCAAGATCCTGGAGCTGGCATGAAACGCTGCTCGTGACAACTAGAAGACCAGGATCATCCCCCGACACCTGCAGCTGTCTGCAAGGACGAGGAGCTCAACAAGCTGCTGGGAGGAGTGACCATCGCTCAGGGAGGAGTTCTGCCCAACATTCAGGTGGTCCTGCTGCCAAAGAAGACTGAGAAACCCATCAAGTCCAAGTGACGGATCAACATCTGCAACCAGGTTCAACAGATCCGCTGTAAGACAGACCTCTACAAGAGATCCTTCCTGTCCACAGCCATCAGCATCTAGAACAACTCTTTAATGAAACCAGGATGATGAGTTACAACAACATTTAATTTCCCCCTGGGATTAATAAAGTATTTTTGAACAGAATTATTTGAATCAGCCTAGAGAAATTAGAGAACATGATGGCTTCAGTGTGAAAGAAAGGCTCAAACTGTTTTTGTTTGTTTTTTTGTAACTAAGTTATGATTCTGAGTGAAGTTTTATATCTTCTGTTTTTGCATTATCTGCAGTAATACAGGAATGTTATTTTTCATTTTCATTGACTCTCTTTAAACGTGTTTTATTATCTGTTTGTGGGTCTGTTTTACCGTCATGTTTGGATCAGGCTCCTGTCACATGTTAATTATCATCAACGAGGACCCTCATCAGTATCTATACCGTGAGAACCAATCAACAGAGGATGCCATCTCCTCTGTGGTCCACACTGCGCTCAACCACCTGGAGCAGAAGGACTCCTACGTCCGTATGCTCTTTGTGGACTTCACATCCACCTTCAACACCATGATCCCCCAAACCCTGATGGACAAACTATTCACACTAGGACTAAGCCCCTCCATTTGCAACTGGGTCCTAGACTTTTTAACAAACAGACCACAGTTAGTGAGGATCCACAACTTCTCCTCCTCCACCATAACCCTCAGCACTGGCTCTCCTCAGGGATGTGTGTTGAGCCCCCTCCTGTTTACTCTGCTCACGTATGATTGTGCAGCTACCCATCCAGGCTGTCACAATGTAAAGTTTGCAGATGATACAGCGGTGGTGGGATGCATCACAAACAATGATGAGTCCAGCTACAGGCAAGAGGTGGAACACCTGGAGAGCTGGTGCAAAGAGGATAACCTTCACATCAATGTGAAGAAGACAAAGGAGATGATTGTGGACTTCAGAAGGAACAAAAACATGTACACCCCCCTGAACATAAGAGGATCTGCGGTGGAAGTGGTTTCCAGCTACAAGTACTTGGGTGTACACATGAATGACAACCTCAGCTGGAGCAACAACACCACCAGCCTGATCAAGAAAGCTCATCAGAGACTCTACTTCCTCAGACGGCTGAGACGAGCTGGTCTGGGAAGCTCAGTCCTCACCTCCTTCTACAGGTGTGCAGTGGAGAGCATCCTGTGCTCGAGCATCAACGTGTGGCATGGAGGCTGCACAGCTGCAGAAAGAAAAGCTTTGCAGAGAGTGGTGAAGGCTGCACAGAAGACTGTCGGAGTCAGCCTCCCCACCATCACAGACATCTACACCTCTAGATGCAGGAAGAGAGCCACCTGCATCATGGAGGACCCCACTCACCCAGCACACACACTTTTTTCCCTGCTCCACTCAAGTAGGAGGCTGAGGAGCATTAAGTGTAGAACCACTAGACTGAGGAACAGCTTCTACCCTGAGGCTGTTAGACTCATGAATCTCTAACCAGAATAATCACTGTGAAAAAAATCACATCATGTTGCTGATCTGTTCCATGTTGATGTGTTCATTCGTGCTCATCTGCTCACACAGACTCATGTTCATGTTTGTGCTGATGTTTGACGCAATGTTTTAATCTTATTAGTGCTTAGTGTATATTTAGTTGATGTTTTTCTTAGTTCATATCTTGGATGTTATTACTGTTTTTCTTTTACATTTTATTGTTGGATGTAACTGGGACCCTGTGTACATAATTTCACTCCACCACATGTACCACATGAGGTGCGAATGACAATAAAGAAACTCTGACTCTGATTATTGTTGCCTGTTTGTGTCTCGTCTGTAGCTCCCTCTCTCCAACCAGTCGTAGTTTTTATATAACAATGAGGACAAAACAGACCAGAAACAGTATTTTACTGAGAATACTTACTCCCTCTGTGTACCACTGACTGCTCTCTCTCTGTCTCTGCTCTCTCTCTGTCTCTGCCCTCTCTGCAGTCGTGTTTGTCCGTGCACTTTATGATTACGAAGGGCAAGCAGACGAGGAGCTCTCTTTTTCTGAAGGCGCTGTGATTCGCCTGTTGAACCGCGACACGCAGACGGACGACGGCTTCTGGGAGGGGGAGTTGAACGGACGGGTGGGAGTGTTCCCCTCGGTGCTGGTGGAAGATCTCATGGAGAACGGGGAGACGAGTGTGGGAGGACCAGGCGACACACAGGTACACCTGCAGAAACACGAGCTGTGGGAAGTCTTTGGAGGGAGACGTGACACAGAGACCAGTGTCTTACTCTTGACCTGAGCTGCAGATTCTGTTATATGTTCCTCGTCTACTGTGCTAGTCCATGACTCCCCTTCCTGTCTGTTGTCCAGCTGATGTGTCAGCAGCAGCAGAGTTCACAAACAGTAGATCAGAAATAAACGCTGATAAAAATCCAGCACTGCAATCAGAGAGAGAGGTCTTATCTGTAGCACTGGGTGCTGCTACGTTAGATGTTCTGCAACAGGAAGGAAACAGCCTCTCCCTTCCTTTGACTCTTTCCAACATAACATGGCACAAGCTTTAGTGACTGTGGGGTGTGGTGGTTAAGTTAAACTAATATATTGCAGGGGATGGTTTTAGAGCAGGGAAGTTGCAAAGAGAAGGTCTGTAAAGTTACTGTAATGCTTCAAAACGTAGGAGCAGTTCGTTAAGAGATGTTTTTACGACTAAACACTATTGAGTGTTCCATGAGCAAGTACCATACTTTCTGCTGTACGCGTTGCACCGCCCTATAAGTCTCCTCAGTCCAAATGTGTCTAATAAAGTGGAAAAACCCATAAATAAGTCACTTTGCCGTATAAGTCACATCTATTATGCGTCACCGCTGACCACTCGGAAATGTGGGCCGGTGTTGTGCCAAAAATCGATTAGCTGCCAAATGACGGCTGCGGGATCATGCACGGGAGGATTTTAACAAGAATTTAACAAGATAAACACTTAAAAACAATTATTTGTTTGCTCATAATTATAGTAAAGTCTCAGTGTCTCAGTTGAACTTTTACTTAGTAAATGTACTTCAATGGTCAAATCAGCTGCATTTCTCCGGGGCGGTGCAGCAAAATGAAGCTGATTTGATGTTTGCTCCAGGTGAGCTGGACGAAGATGGCAGGCTCTGGCAAGCTGATTGTGTCATCAATAACCTCTTTTACATATTACATGACACAACATCATTCCATACAACTTGAGTGCCATCTAACGGCTTAAAATGGTAGTGTTCAATATTTTCAGTGAGAATGAATGAAAACGGTCATATCTCAGCCATTAATTGTTTATAAATATGGGAAAAAAAACATAAATACGTCGCTTTGGCATAAAAGTTACAGGGCGTGCAAATTATGCAACAAAAAAAACCCACAACTTATAGGGCAAAAAATATGGTAGCCTTCTAAATTATGGATACTTATATCAACTATCTAATAAAAGCTCTTTTTACTGTGATTTATGTTACATGAAGAGGTTTTCACATAAAAATGTGAAAAGTATATTAATTAAATCTTTCAAACTTCCATTCATCCAACAGGTAAAGTTATTAATTCTGTAATAATATTATGGACATAATGAGAAATACAATAAGTGCATTGATTTAATAAAATAAACCAGTCAGTTTGTTGTCCCCCATCATGGAGGGAAGAGGGAGAATTGGAAATAACTTCTGTCTATTTATCATCCTCCCATCCGTCCGTGTTGTGAGCATGATAAATTGAAAATATGCAACATGCTGACTTCCATGTTGGTGTGTGGCTGCATCTATGAGTAAGAAAAGTCACTGTCCAAAATTGGGTTGCCATGTCAAAATCCAAGGTGGCCACCAACATATAAATGTTAAGAAACTATGCTTTCTAGTTTTTATATTGCTTAAATTGGTACTTTCCTCAAACAACAGTGTGTGTGTGTGTGTGTGTGTGTGGGGGGGGGGGTTATATTAATCTATGGTGGCCAGAGACACCACTGGCCACCCCCTGACTCCCTCCACTCACCAGGACTCAGTATTCAAGTCCTTCAGTGACGGGGGACATCGGTGTACCACTTGTTTCTCCTGCTTGTATATAACTGTGCACTGTGCACATACTTGTTATTAATAATAACGTTTTTTTTTTGCTGCGAGAGTAAAAATGTTTAAATCAGTCGTGCAGGTTCTATAAACTTGATATAACAAAGAAGTATTAGGTTTTAATGTCTTACCTTAAAGCTAATAACCAACAGGTTTTCTTTTTGGGCCCATGATCATGTAAGTTGTGTTTCCCAGCTGCAGCCAGTTAATTTTACCATCAGAATATTTCTAAAAGCCTAAGAGTTCATCTGTTACGTCAGAGCAGTTTACAACATTCATGAGGATTAATAAATGAAGATTTTCTGGAAGCTGAGTCTGATTTTTGTTGCTTTCTGTAGATTTCACCTCCTTCCAAGTTGCCATCTTCTCTGCCACTTCTGCCGCTGTACGACCAACCTCCCATCAGCCCTTTCACCAGCCCTGAGACCTCCACCCCGCCTCCCCTGCCACGCTCCCCCTCAGCTACGCAGAACGGGGAGCACAAGCTTCCCCTGCCAGCCTCTTCACACAAAGGGCAGCTGTCGTCTCGCAGTAAGAGCCTGAGCTGTCATCAGAAGGTACACTGAGCGATGGGCCTCTCTGTAATCAAGCTTTGTGTCTCTGCAGGTCAGAGCTCTGGGAGGAGTCCAGTTTCTCCAGGATTTGCTCAGACTCCGCCGCTGCGACTCACGATCGAAGGAGGTCCAGGAAAACTACGACCAGTTAGTGTCAAAGTTATTTTGTTGCTTCCCAGAGCGTCTCAGAATACAAACTGTTTTCTTGATCCGGTCATTAAAACTCTGTTCAGACATTGATGCCGGCATGAGTGGATTAGTATTTCTGTTTGTGTTTGAAGAACGCACAGCGTGTATGCTTGATCCTAGCGCTGCTCCTGCTGGGCAGCCATGTTGTTCTTTCTGCAGCATCGCCTCCTGTTGCAGAGCAGAACTGCAGTGAGCGTGGCAGACCTCAGTATGCACGTTTTACCAGCAAATCGTGTGCTGCTTCTCTAAACTCAATAAATTAGGGTTCATAAATGTCAGAATTAAATAAAATAACCTAAAATTATAAGCAGTATCAGGATAACAGGTTTAATTGCAGTATGATAAAGATTTAGAGGTGTCAAGACATAAATGTGACTCAACCCGATCGGCCCATTTATTCACATTCTGTAAAATAAACAGAGCAGTTTCAATACAATTGGTAATGTGGTTATTGAGATATTTTGCTAACGCTACAGACAAACGATAATGCACACAGGCATGGACAAAAACCTTCCTGCTGCTTCTCTCTTGGCTTCAAGCAATAAGAATGAGTTGAGGGTCTTTTTAACCTGATGGATACTGTTGACCTGGCAGCTTGATTTATAATTAAAATAAACCTTGTTTTACTCAGGTTGCTTGACTTATGGACTTATTAGATTTTTCTATGTAATCAAGTGTTCATTAGAATCGATTACAGATACCGTATTTTTCGCCCTATAAGTTGCAGTTTTTT